GTCCGTCCGTCCTCCGCCGAGTCAGTGTGCGGGGCAGGGACGTGTTTGATTCTGGCCCAACAGCTCAGTCACGACGAGGACACAGCCACGGGGACTACCCCTGACCCGGGCCCCGCGTAGATTCCGGGTCATGCGTCACTTCCGGGCCCTGAAGGAAGTGGGTTGGTTGGCGGGGCAACCACGGGCGTCCTTCAACGCCTGGGTCCCTTCTCCGCCCAGTTTGACCGTGGGGGTCCGAAGCACGCTTTGAGAGTCGATCCTTGAAGCCAGGGCGGGGCAGCTCCTCGCGTACGCCGAGTCGACCACTCAGCCCCCACGTCGGGTCGCCTTTCGGGGACCACTCGGAGGGAAGAAGGTTCAGTGGGGAGCCGTTTTGCGTTGACTAGCCCCCAGTGAAGGTCCAGACCTGGACAGACTTAGGGCCCTTTACATACGTGAGAGAGAACTTACGGAGCTCATTCTCTGCTTTCTAGATAAGCCCATCGAATGATTTAGAACTCAAGGAACTCTCTTTTGGGGGTGACATTTTCTGGTCTATAGCATGTTGGAATATTTAAGTGTTTATAAATTTGTAATTTCACTGAACTCAGGATAAGACTGACACTTGTTGGGGGTGCGGTGGGGAGGAGAATTAATACTGATAACATTCTGCTTGTCGCTGTGTCAGGTCCAGAACATTCTCATTTCATCCTCACAATGACTCTGAAACAAAGATTCTTCTTACAGATAAAAGACATGAAGAATTTAAGGAACATGTCCAGTTAATTAGGTGGAGAATATTTATGTCTGCACTCTGGATACTTCAGGTGCATGTCTTTGTTTTTAAGCTTTTTTGCTAAATGAAAGTGCTTTTGTGGCATTTGCCACAAACATGGGCGCTTAAGTGAACTGCGACCCAGAATGAAACACATGCACTTAAGAATTGTCAACCATTTAAAAAATTTCGAATAACAATTGTGCAAAGCTTGCAGGTGTTTACATTTCTTTAAAGGTTTGTCTTCACCGAAGTTCAGCTGTTTTCTTCTGAACCGAGGAGGCATCATTTGTTTTAAGAAAACAGCTTGATCATCTAGAATTGTCATGACAGTTCTGGCTCCATGAGAGATAGTATTGGTCCTTAAAAGAACGAGCGGTTATAAACTTTTAGCTTCGTTAAGACTGTGGTTGGTTTCAAGATTAATATAAAAACAGCGATCAGGGTTTTACGCGCACTTGTTTCCGAAGTTCAGCTTTCAGTTTTATGGTCATTGGCTGTGTATGCTTGTGTTGTTTCTCAGGTTTCATGTTTTTTACTTCTACTCTAGTTCTTAAGTTTTTTTTTCTTTTTTTAAATGTAATACCATTGCAGTACTGAGTGACAGATTTTATAGGCAGAGAAATTTCTCACTACCGACTTGAGACTCAGAAATTTCAGAAGGACTTTAAAAATTAAGGACTTAAAAACTTAAGAAATGAAGAAAATTTTCACACTTGTGAAATTCACAATTTCTTATTTGGAGTATGGTTAAGAGAGAACCTCGATTTTTGTCCCAACATCCTCATTCATAGTTTCTTTGGTAAATAACCTTTGAACTAAAATTTAATCATTTCAAAGTGGCTTCTACGCAGCTTAGAAGATTGGAAAGTGCTTAAGTGGCAGAGGCGGAGCTGCCAGTGGGAGTTCAGAGTCCGAATCTGTGTTGTTGCCTCTGGGAACTGTTTTCCCAGCTGGTGATGCTTCCTCCCGGCTGTTGTGGGGTTTAAATGAGGGGTCTTGGTCACGGTCACCTCATACAGGGGTGCTGTGTCGCTTTCCTTTGTTCTCATAGAGAAGGTGTCCTAAAAATGGGCATGATGCACTTGGCGCTGACTCCCAGTTACTGAGCACAGAATATTTGAAGGAAGGGTTGCCTTTGTGTATTAACGCTGATTTTGTGTGCCTGACGGGAAAATAAATAAGGTTGTAGAGGAAAAGTTTTGTTCCTTACAGACCTAAGCTAGCAATGGCATAGGTGTGGACTTGCAGGTGTGTGTACCCTCAAGTGTGCACTGGCACTGTGCCCAATTAGGTGTCATCAGTGTGAGTAGTTAGAGTTTCCCGAAAGTGGCTAATTCCCAGGAACTGTGCTCAGGACTCTGCTGCCTTATTGCTACAGAGGCCTGGTGTGTGTGTCTGGCCTCTTGTACCCTTGTGTTCCTATAGAGTAATAATACTGGAATATAAAAAAGCAGTTGTATAGGAGCCCCACTGGTGTACCATTTGATATAAATAAGCTAATTTTTGTTTTGCCACCTTTAGTGAGAACTTGTTCAGGTAAAATTACATTTAATAAGGATCTTCATAGAACAGATGTCAGTAAAAACTAGTTTTATGTAAACTTTGGTAACATCTGAAGCTATGTTTTCAGATTGCTGTATATTGTTTAGCTATGCAGTCATTTTTGACTGAACTAAAAGTGTCCTAGGCGCTGCAGAATGTGCAGGTCAGCAGGTCAGCAGGTTTAGAACCAAGTGCTGCGTCACCTGCAATAGCAAGTGACCCAGGGCTGACGCTGCTGCTGTTTGCTTTTGTTAGTAACTCACTCACTCGATGCCAGAACCTGAACCTGAACTTACGATGGAAATAAATTCCATTTGATAAAGGAACCGGCAAAACTAGTAGAATTCCTTGTTTCTGATTGGTTTAACAATATCCAGGTAGGGCTTTGCTGGTGGCACACTCTGTCTCTGGTGAAGCTTCTCATTCCCTCTCACCTCTGGCCTGTACCCCAGTTCTTGCATGCATAAATAAGCTGGTCTTTATTGTTTTTAAAGATGTATTTACTTCTGCACACAAGAACTGGGGCATAGGCCAGAGGTGCAGGGGCTGTGAGAGGCTTCACCAGAGACAGAGCGGGGAGCAGAACAGGCAGATCGACAAAGTCCACCGCTGAGGGGAGCAGCGGGCGGGTCAGGAGAGGTCTGCCACACTGTGTGGGTCGCTTCCCTGGTGGGGAATCGAACTTGTGCTGAACTGGCTTTAGCTAGCCTCGCCGTGCTGTGCTTTAACTTGTTGCGCCACCAGGGAGGGCCCTAAATCAATCTTTAAAAAAAAAAGGAATACCCAGGTACTGGGTGGTATAGGGAAGCTGGAGAGGCTCCGGAATCCTGTAGAGTCCTTGGTTGAGCTGTAAAACCTTTAACACAGTCGCACAGTGAGCGGTAGCCTGGCCGCGGAGCCTCTTTTAAAGAAGTTTTACTGCTGGAGTCCAGCATGTCAGCCTCCTGTAGTGCTGTTTTGAGTTTCAAATGACATACAAGTGACTTGACATTCTGTCGGCGCTCAAGCGGGACACAGCGTTCCAGTGCGTGCCAGGTGCTTTGATTATAATGCCCCGTGTCTTTTATCCTTTTAAATATAAATTAATGAGCATTAGAGTTTTTTGCTCTTCCTTTTTATTATTTTACTTTTAAATATACCTTCCCATCAGATGACCTGTGGTCTTTGTATAGCAAGTAGAGTGTTTTTTTATGCTGTAATGTAGAGGAGTGTGTGTTTGTGGTTCTGACTGACCAGCTCTGCAGGAAAAAACTAGGTTACATGCACCAACAAAATAACTTTGATTTTTCTTTTCCTTCTTAGAAACATTAAAGGAAATTGATGATGTCTATGAAAAATATAAGAAAGAGGATGACTCGAACCAGAAAAAACGTCTACAGCAGCATCTCCAGAGAGCATTAATCAATAGTCAAGAACTGGGAGATGAAAAGATTCAGATTGTCACACAGATGCTCGAATTGGTGGAAAACCGGGCCAGGCAAATGGAGTTACACTCGCAGTGTTTCCAGGACCCTGCTGAGAGTGAGCGAGCCTCCGATAAGGCCAAGCTAGACGCCAGCCAGCCGGAAAGGTCGTCGAGAAGGCCCCGGAGACAGAGGACCAGTGAAAGCCGCGACTTGTGCCACATGACGAATGGGATCGAGGACTGCGAGGATCAGCCGCCCAAGGAGAAGAAGGCCAAGTCGGCCAAGAAGAAGAAGCGCTCCCGGGCCAAGCAGGAGCGGGAGGCGTCGCCCGTGGAGTTTGCCATCGACCCCAACGAGCCCACGTACTGTTTGTGTGACCAGGTGTCCTACGGGGAAATGATCGGCTGCGACAACGAACAGTGCTCCATCGAGTGGTTTCATTTCTCCTGCGTTTCACTCACCTATAAGCCAAAGGGGAAGTGGTATTGCCCGAACTGCAGGGGGGACAGTGAGAAAACAATGGACAAAGGTCCTGAAAAGACAAAAAAGGACAGAAGGTCCAGGTAGTAAAGGCCATTCGCGTTTTAAAGGGTTGTTTGTCTTTTATATAATTCTTTCCGAATTTACTTTCAGAAAATGTTTTAGGGTAAATGCATAAGACTATGCAATAATTTTTAATCATTAGTATTAATGGTGTATTAAAAGTTGTTGTACTTTGTCTGTGACCTTAATTTTCCGCACTAAATTACCAAATATTTCCAACCAGGTAGTCTTCAGATCACCTGACGAAAGGAGCAGGGAGTAGGGGCAGGGTGTTGTGAGCCTCGTAAAGCGTCACAAGCCACGCATTTCATTTTCACTTAAAACTACAATGCTATTTTTGGGCAAACTCCAGAGTTTTCTAGCATTGTAAGCTCTGTGGGCTTTTAAAAAATTAGATATAGTTGGAATTCTCTGCAAAAGTATTTTTTTTAAGATTTATTTATACAGAAAGAAGTGGGGTGCAGGACAGAGGTGGGGGGGAGGAGAGGATTCACCAGAGAAAGAGCAGGGAGTAGACCAGACAAATGTACTGAAATCCACTGCTGAGGGGAGCATGGGGCGGGTCAGGAGAGGTCTGCTGGGCCCTGTGAGTCACCCCCCTGGCCGGGATCGAACTCGTGCCGCAGTGGCTGTGGCCAGCTTCATAGAGCTGCGCTTTAACCCATGGTACCACCAGGGAGGGCCTCTCTGCATTGCATTGTCTTGGGTAACTACGTATGAACATGCACCACTTGGCTGCTTTCTCCTCCGTCCAGTTTCTACACATACGCACTCAGCTCGAGTTTGCCAAGAGGTTAAGGAGCCAGAGATGAAGCCTGGGATTCCACGCGGAGCCTTGTGGTCTTCCTGGGGTGTTGGCCTCCGCATTTTCCTTAGGAGCCTCTGACGCGCGTCTTGGCCTTCCCGCTCCTGCCCCTGCCGGCTGACAGGTGCATCCGCCCCGAGCTTCCCGGAGCGTGCTCTGTTCTCAACAAGACATGAAAGCACAGTTAGAATGCTAAGTGCTGCCATTGGCTGTTAACTGGCAAAATTTGGGTGACATAGTATCATGGTCTAAGGTTAGCAATTGGAAAGTTCCATCTCCCTGGGTACTGTTTTCCACGTGCCCCCTGCTGGGGTGCCAGGCCTGGAACGGGCACAGGCTCGTCTTAAACGCTGCCTCTGTCAGACTCGCTTCAGTTGTTCTGTTCGGGGCTCCAGTTTACTTCTCTCCCACTCAGTGACCCTGTATTATTTAAATACTAGTGTATTTTCTTTCTGAACTTTCTGGTATTGGTGCTGTTTGATGTGTTCATGTTTAATGAACTTAACTTCATTATAACAATGCAGTTGATAATGTATTTGTATATTGAATTTTCCAAGATTCCAATATTTTAAGGATCCGTATGTGAGGGATACACGTCCCTTTACCAGAGAACTTTTTGATTGGCAGGCTAGTCCTTTAAAGCTGTGTGTAACATACTTTTCATTCCTCATTTCTTCCCAGTCCGAAGATCTTGATTCTTTCTGATTAACATGTGAAAAATCTTTTCTGCTTGCTTGAAAAAAAGAAATTGTTTTTCCCTCTTCTAGCTCTCCTGAGTGAATGTCAGGCATCATTTTACCTCACCTGGGGTCTGGTTGTTCCTCTAGAATAGGAGCTCAAGTGGCTCCAGCTTCCCTTTGAAGTCTGTAACATTGGCACTGTAGTGAGGATTGTAATAATCAACTGACTTGTCCCTTTTTGATTAATTTTGTCCTTCATTCAGAGATCTGAAGACAGTTTAATAATGACAGTGGAGACAGGCAGTCCACTATTCCTGACTGGCTTCTCTCCTGAGGACATCTCAAAGAATGCCTGGAACCAGTAGATCATACTGCTCCTTGAGCAGGAAATAGCAGGCAACGTGACTGAGGATTAATTTCATTGTAACTCAGTTGTGAAGAAATCCCTTCTGGCACGAGTGTAGGTCGTGTCTGCTTAGTGGTGAGGCCCTTGTCCCCGGGGTGGAGCGCTTCACCTGGCGCCGTTTAGCATGGCAGCAAATTCAGCGCCAAAGATGGGACTCTGGGGATGTGCGTTTGCCGGGGGGTTGTGGGGAAACACAACCATGGAAGTAGGTTGCACTTGACACGAAAACAGTTGTGGTTGGTCGTGGAGGACGGGTTCTTTCAGTGCTAGGGTTTAAAGCGGGTTTATTTTTATGAATTTACTTTTTTTAAAGGTTATTTATGCAGACAAGAACTGGGATACAGTCCAGAGGTGCAGGGAGTGAGAGGATTCACCAGAGACAGTGGGAAACAGAACAGGCAGATTGGCTGAAACACTGCTGAGAGGCGCAGCGGGGAGACAGGAGAGATCTGCTGCGCCCTGTGGGTCCCTCCCTGGCTGGGATCGAACTCGTGCTGCAGGGGCTGCAGACAGCTTTGAGGTGTTAGGCTTTAACCTGTTGCACCACTAGGGAGGGCCCTATTTTTGTGAATTTCCTTTTGCTTGCTAAATATGAAATAGAAGTCTGAAGTAGAAGTCTGAAGTTTGCATGTTGTAACGGGTTTCCTTTCCACGTTTTACACATTTCATACACTTTGTCTTGCGCACTGGCTCGCACAGGAGGTGCCAAAGCCTCGCGCACCTTGGCATGACCCCCGGAGCTTACACTGAACACGCCCGTAGCCGGTGGCCCGCTCCCGCAATTGTGATCTAATTATTTGGACTGTGGCTTAAGCATTGAATTGACTGAAGATCCCAGGTGAAAATAATGGACAAAAAGCTCACAGCACTACTGCCTGACTCAAAACCGCTCCCTGCTGAAGCGCCTCCTCCCTCAGGTGTGTGACTCCAGCACAGGGCAGCACAGGTGCCCAGGGGGAGTTTGTCCTTTGCCCCCAAGGGTGGGCCCCTCCGGCCTGCGAGGAGCTCAGCTCTGGTGGGGCTCAGCCTCACCAAGGTCAGGGCTGGAAGAAGCAGAGTAAGGAGCTGGAGAAGAGGGCAAAGGCAGTCTTGTGACCAAGAAGGTCTCTGAGGGAGTTCCCCGAGCCGAGACCAAGAAGGAGAAAGTGAGGCCGGGAAGGAAGAGAACGCTGGTTTTGGCAGCGGTTGATGCTGGGCGGGGCTAAAAGCGGGTCCTTGGGAGCCGTGTGTGGAGGGTTAATACTCTCGATCCATCGCTGTCGATGCCGATGCCGCGAGCAGCAGTTCTGCGGGGAGCCTGCAGTCTGCACGGGAACCTTTGCTGGCGTAGACTCGGCGCAAGCCGAGCTGGGGGGGGGGGCCCTTCCGCGGGACGGCCCAGGCAGCAAGGGGTTGGCCCGGGGTTGGAGAGCAGTGAGGTGAGGATGGCTCTCGGCACCTGGCTTCCGGGCAAAGCAGGTGCAGGGTGGGTCTCAGTGGGGCCCAGCCAGGGGCTGGGGCGGGGGCAGCCATCTCAATGCAGCCTATGTGGGGGTCACTCGGGTAAGCAGAGCTGCCCGCCCTTGAGGCACGTGAGCCAGGCTGGGTGGCAGTGCCAGCGACACCACGGGTCCAGGGCCAGGATGCCCTCTGGCTCCAGCTGCGTGTGGAGCAGCAACCTTATAGATCCAGGAGAGAGGGCTGGCCCTGGCATCTTCACATTCAAGGGGCTCGGAGAGCTCTCCGTGACAGACAGAAAGGACCCCCCAGAAACCACAGTGGTTTCCAGAGGAGTGCCCACTTGGGTCCCATCAAGTGCTGTTGACGCAAGTTGAAGGCTGAGGACTAACCGTGAGTTGGGGCTGGTCACACTTAATAGCTAACAGTGGGGGTGGGGCACACCAGAGAGTCAAGGACTGTGGACAGCAAGCGGGGGCCAGGTGGGCGAGGAAGGGGTGCTACTTCGGAGACCACCCAGCATGACTGCGTGCTGGTCAGCATCAGCCACTGGAAGGAGGGGGCCAACACGGGCTGACTTGCAGGCGGGAAATGTGAATAGGCAGGTGAGGAGTGAGAGTAGGGGCTAGTGTCAGCCAGGCCCGAGGACAGTTCCAGTTGTGTCAAGAGGGAAGGTGGTGGTAGCCCTCATGCTGGTGGTGCTGCCTTGCCCCACCCCCAAGCAGGGCAGGCCCCCAGGAGAGAGCAGTGCCCCAAGGAAGACAGCAGTCTGCTCCCCGCTGTGCTGAGGTTCTGGGGTGGCTGGGTGGAAATGCAGATAGCTCGCTCTATTTGGTATGGGGGAAGTGACATCACTCCCTCCTAATAGCCCCACTCGCCCAGTGGACGGTCGCAGGCATGAGGGCTGTGGGCCAGCGGCCAGGCCGCAGGGCCAGTCTGGGCAGCTGGCGTGGGCAGGACGTCAGTGAACCTGTTCCAAGCCTGTGAAGCAACCTGAATGAGAGCCGGAAAGCGTGCTCCCTGCACGTGTGGCTTTCTCTGAACTTCGGCCCTGTGGACCCTGCCCTGAAGTGGCCAGGGGCCCTGGACGTAAAGAGGAAGACAGCGCTTCAGCGTTTTGGAGTCAAATCTTTATGACTTGACATTGTTCAAAATCTCCCAAAGCGTTGTCTTGCTCGGGATTACCTTGCCAGCTCTGCATTCCCTGGGGAAGCCAGAGGTCCTTGTCATATTTGAAAACGAGGAAAGCAAAGTGGACGGGATTCCAGGGAGGTGGAATTTTCTAGATCTCAGGTCGCTTGTCCTCTTTGGCCTGAAGTTTGTCCTGCTGTAAAATGCGTTTTTTTGGTAAAGATACCGTTATCATGTCCCTTAACGTTAGTCTCCTGGTGACAACCCCTGGCTGGGTTGTATACAAAATAAGTGTTGAATTCTGTATATGGTAACCAGATTTCTCAAAATTCCCCCCAACGGAGGCACCAGCATGGTTTTGAAGCAATCTGCCATTTCCACCTTGCTAATTTTATAAGTCTTATTTATTGAATATTCTTTAAGCAAAAACTTACCCCTTTTGGATTTAAATTTATTTTTAAAAGCTTATCCCTTGGGTAAAGGGAACGTTAGTGTGCCCGTGAATGATGACCTGAAAATCCAGTGACAGCAGTGTTAGCGCGAGAGTTGGGGGACAGTTACACTGATTGGGCAGCTGGCGGGGAGGACCCTGAAGAGTCCGCAACGACGGACAACTCAAGATGGGAGGCACAGAAATGGGGGGCTCGGTGGGCGAGGGAGGGCTGTTACCTCGGAGACCACTCAGCATGGCTGCGCGCTGGTCGGGGTCATCCGTTCGAGGGGCGCCGTGGTGGGGGGCAAACCTGCAGGCGTGACCTGCAGGGCCAGCGAGGCTGAGCCCCAGCCCACCCTCCTCACAGGTGCGCTTCACAGGTAGTGTCCGAGGGGGAGAAGGCCGGAAGGCCAGGTGGAGCCTCCCTGCGTGGTGCAGTGCAGCAGTGCAGGGCCATGCCCGGTCGCCTGCTGTCCGCAGGATGTTAGCCAGGCCGCGCTGACGTGCAGATTATTCTGCATCTGGCTCCCACAGGCTTGTGAGCCGGCTTCTGAACCCCTCAGGCACTGCCTGCCACGTGCCCGACGGTAACTGACGGTCTCCTGCCTGCCCGTGGGCTTCTCGGCTCCTGGGCTGGGGAGCAGCTCCCGCGGCGCTTCTCTGTGGGAGCAGAGAGGGATTTCCCCGGCGGCCTCGTCTGCAGTGGCTCTGGCCCAGCCTCCCGGCCCTGAGCTAAATCCTCAGAATTGTCCAGGTGGCGTCCGTGGTTACCCACGTGCTAGTGGACTCGTGACTTGGCGTCTCCTTTATAAACAAGAGGCTCCAGATTCCTTTTGCACGGAGAACACCGAGTGTCTGTGTGCGCTACGCGTGGGAGGAGTGAGATCTGGGGACAGGTGATCTGCTTAGGGTGGGGTGCAGTGCACCCACCTGTAAGCCCTAGAGTAACACTTGAGCGGTTTGGTAGCAACTGTCCTGCCTGCTTTTCAGTCTGCCCTCTGGTCCTTTGCGCTCGTGGTAGGACAGGAGCCGAGACTGGTGTCACCGTGCTAACACACTTGCCCCTGGACGGAGGATTATTAGTCTCGACTGGCCTGAAATTGGCTTTTATTTACTTTTTTCTTTTAAAAAGATGTTATTTATTTACATACACAGAACTGGGGTACAGGCCAGAGGTGCAGGGGGTGAGAGGCTTCACCAGAGACAGAGCGGGGAGCAGAACAGGCAGATGGACGAAGTCCACTGCTGAGGGGAGCAGCGGGCGGTCAGGGGAGGTCTGCCGCGCCCTGTGGGTCACCTCTGGGGCGGGGATGGAACTCGCACTGAGGCGGCTGCCGCCAGCTTGCAGTGCTGCGCTCAACCAGCTGTGCCAGCAGGGACGGCCTTACTTACTTTTAAAAAAGATTTATTTATTTATGCATGCAGAACTGGGGTACAGGCCAGAGGTACAGGGGTGGTGAGAGGATTCGCCAGAGACAGAGCAGGGAGCAGAACAGGCTGATCGACAAAGGGCACTGCTGAGGGGAGCAGCGGGCGGTCAGGAGAGGTCTGCCGCGCCCTGTGGGTCACCCCCTGGCCCGGCATCGAACTCTGCTGAAGCGGCTGCGGCCAGCTTGCAGCTCTGCCCTTTGGCTCACTGCGCCACCAGGGAGGGCCCTGAAATTGGTTTTAGAAATAAATCTGGCTGCCTTTCGTGCTTTTCATCCTAACACTGCCTTAGTGCCTCTTTTAGTTTATTGTGTTGGAAAAAACATTTGGTAAGATTTGTGTCTGGATTAAAAAATAGACCTAGCGCTTGAGCATCCGTTGTGGCTTCGTCTGGCTGACTGGATTTTTTCCCTCCTCTCCATTCTGTTCCGCCGCAGGCTTGGCGTAAACTTCCTTTGAGCAGCCAGCTCCCATTTGACCAGAGGCGCCCTTTACATCGTTCGCTCATCTGAGAGACTCCTCCGGAAAGCGAAGCTGTTAGCCCACTGGCTGATTTTCCTCTGCAGGGGTTCAGGTTTTGATTAGTAATTTTGGGGTCGTGCCCGCAGTGGGAACCATGGCCCTGAGGCTTGCCGGACTGAGCCCCACCCGCCAGAGATGCCACAGCCGGCTCCTCACGGCGAGTCCGAGCCGAAGACGGACTCACCGGCATCTTGTGCCTTCTTACATGGCGCCTGTGGTCAGAAGTTTTCTTCTGTGATATTTAGAGCACATTTTATTTTTTGGTGGGGAACTCTTACCTCCCATCATTTGAAAAAAAAGTATATCCTCACAAGGTAAGAACAGTGATCATAAACTCTAGCAAAATAGTCGCTGAACTGTTGCTCAGTTTGGACCACAAGAAGTGTGTCTTAGCTTCGGCTTTGATTTGATTGGGCTTGAATTTTGCACTAATTTTCTTGTAATTTCTAGCATCAGTTTAATGTAACTTCTGGATCATTCTGACTTGATTTAAAGTGTAATTTAGTGAAAAGGGCAATTTAGAACTTTGCTAATTGCACAGAGAAAAATCATTTAACTGTCCAGTGGTTAGTTAAGAGAAGATGGGGGAAAAGAGAGGGATCTAAATTCCTTTCTTTTGATTTCAGCCTCCGCTGTATTAAAATTCATCTTAAATTAATTTTTCCAATAGTACAGAAAATGCTTACTTATCTGGCACAGAGGAATTTACAAGGTTATTTTACATCACCGTCGTGTATTTTGAAGATCTGTGCAAAGCAAGGTTTCAGTCCTTTGAAGCCAACAACTGTAAGTTTAGGGTCTCGGTAAAACACTTTGGTGAAGTACTTTGGGTGCGAGAAAGCTTGCACCCAGCTTAATAAACTTCATCTTTGAGTAGCAAACAGGAGGTGTATTTTCGCACTAATTTTACAGCCAGGTTTATGGGAGGCGACTACTTACGGGGTTATTTGTTGGTTTTACCAGACACTTGCATGGTAGTTTTACTGACGTCTGGGGTTGGGGGTAGGGGCAAGATGAAATGATGGGAATCATCTCTGGGTAAATGGCCCCAGGCGCTGCTCAGCCTCATTGTGTCCCTGATGCACTTTCACACTTCAGACTTGCCTCACGCTGACTTGACATTGAGACAGCAACCAGGTCCTCTATGTGAAATGTAAAGACATAACTTGCAAAGCATACCACGCAGACTCAGAAGAGCCTGCCAGCTGGCTAGAGGGCTGCCTCTGTCTTGGGGGGACATGATGCACCCCCTGGCACCCAGAATCTGCCCAAGAAGTCAGGCCACTTTGCATAGCTACCCGCCTCTTGGAGAGTCAGAAGGTTCCGAGAATCCTCGTAGCCTTTCCCCCAACGATGTCTGTGTCCTGAGGAAGTGGGGTCCTTTTACCCTGAGACATTGCCCTAAACTACTCCAGTGAAGAATAGATAATTTTCAGTTGACATGGGTCACACGCCAGCTTCCCTCTTACACCCCGTTCACTTGGGGCCTTTCGACTCATTGTTTACAGCTGCGTCAGAACAGGGCCTTGTGGGGCTTTCTCTGGGTTAGCTACTGGGAGGAAGTGGGCGTTGTTAAGACTTCCTACAGGATCGCAACAATGAACGATGCACTGCAGTGTGAACCGTCTGTCAAAGTAACTGGGTTATGCAGCGTCGAAAAGAACGTCACTTGCTCAGTTCCTTGATTGGTAAAACTGGCCTGGATTTCCTAGGTACAGAGCGCTGGAAGTCGACACTTGATCAGAGCAGACCTGGGCACATCCTTGGTCACTGTCTCATACTCGTTCTGGAGAAGCCTGAATACAAAAGGCAGTCGTGCGAGGGTCTAGCATCGTCTCTTTCCTGCTGGCGTCTCACACAAATGAACTTTTTATTTTATTTATTTATTTTTTAAGATTTATTTATTTATACAGAACCGGGGTACAGGCCAGAGATACGGAGGGTGAGAGGCTTCACCAGAGACAGAGTGGGGAGCAGAACAGGCAGATCGACGAAGTCCACTGCTGAGGGGAGCAGCGGGCGGGTCAGGAGAGGTCTGCCGCGCCCTGTGGTCACCTCCGGGGCAGGTGGGAATCAAACTCATGTGGAAGTGGATTAAGCTTCTTAGTGCTGTGCTTTAACCTGCTGCGCCACCAGGGAGGGCCCTTTACTTTATTTTTTTAATATTTGTTTATTTATGCATACGAGAACTGGGATACAGGCTAGAGGTGTTGGGGGGTAAGACGATTCACCAGAGGCAGCATGGGAAGAGAACAGATGGATTGACTGAACCCACTGCTGAGGGGAGCAGTGGGGAGACAGAGGTCTGCTGCGCCCTGTGGGTCACCTCTGGGCCTGGCGGGAATCGAACTCGCACTGAAGCGGCTGCGGCCAGCTTGCAGTGCTGCATCCTAACCCACTGCGCCACCAGGGAGGGCCCTGAGGGCCCTGAATAGATAAAGCTTAAATTAGAGCCGCATTCCCCTTGACGCGGCTGTTCAGGCAGCAGTACATGTCCCTAGCTTGTCTGATTTCGCTTTCACAAGAGCTCACCACTGTTGCTTCTGGATTTCTCCGCCTGCTCTCATTTCTGTCAGTCATCCTTTCTCTCTTCTTTGGCACTGTGCACGACGTCTTGCCCTCTGCCACAGGCCACATCCCCACCCCCAGGCCTCCGTCTGCGGCCAGTTGGCAGTGCAGCTGGCACCAGTTGGTGCCTCTTGGCCTGGAACCAGCTCACGCCAACGCATCTTCTCACAGGCTGGCTCCGTTCGCTGGCAATTGCCATCGCCGCTAGTGATGCCCTCCATCATTGTCTCCCACTCACCCCAATGCCATGGGCAGCCCCCCCCCAAAAAAAATAAATTGTGAGGTTGAAGTTCCAGGACATGAGTGGGTTCTCTACTGAGTGAGAGCAGCGTGGAGACACAGACGCCTGTCTCGCCAGACCCCGCATGGCGCTGGCTGCCGGGCAGCGGGGCCGAGGAGCCTGCCACCCAGTCTGCGAGCTCCCTTAGCCACAGACACTCGCGCTGTCCATCAGTTAATTAGTAATGAGCTGGCATTTGGCTGGCACTTGCCTGGGTCCTTTTATTCCCTACTCCTTCAAGTCTGAGTAGGAAAACAAAGTGTTCTTTATTCACCTCTTCAAAGTTCCACACTTGGTTAATAATTAGTCCTCAGCAAACAGTTGCTGAGTGACCAAAGGGCTGCTTTCTCCTCCCCCGCCCCCTGTGAGTGGTTGGGAGCGCAACCCGGTGCACAGAGTCTCAGGAGCCAGGTGGCAAGCCCAAGGCTGCTGCAGCACACCTGGCGGAGAGAAGCCGGGAGGGTCGGCCCCCCCCACGGCACGTGCCAGCGGACAGAAGTCGGGATCTCTAGCGAAGGGAGGAGCGCTGGGATAGAACCTTCCCTGAGGACCACACACTTGTGTCCAGTGAGAATACATCACCCGTCCCGCAGGAAATGTCCCAGGGCAACACCCGCCTTTTCTGAACCCCATTTCATCTGGCTGGAACATCCCCAATCTTCTTGTTGAACAGCGATTGAAATGTTCCCATTTTCATTGCGGCTCATTTTCTAGTTGTCTTGGTGTTCAGTTTTCCTTTCCCAAGGAGACCGAACAGCTAAAGCCATCCAGGGGATGAAGGAGAGATGGGGAAGCGTGTAAACAGGGGCATCACCTAAGCAGACGTTTCCAGAACCAAACGTAAAGCAAGCCACAGCTACCTCAGTCACATCCTAAGTTGATCTAAAATCTCTTCTGTCAAGAAAAGGAAAAATACCGGATGGTTTCTCTCATAGCAGGAGTATAACGGAACAGGCGAGAAAATGATGATAATGAGCAGCCATATAGCAGAGACATTTTGTGGGGGTGCAGTGGGGAATGGGATCAAAAATGGGGGTGGGGGAGAGAAGTGCATGGGTCTATGGTGATGGCACACGGGTGATGTGGTGATGGGAAGCCCACGGGGATTGCAACTGAGATGGAAAAATGCACAAAAATATGTAAAAATAAACTATTATAACATTAAAAAAAAACAACAAAAAACCTCTTCTGTCTACCTACCCAGGAATAGGAAGGATGGCTTGACCCTTTATCTCAGAAATGCTGCTGATGCTCTCAAGCCCACACTTCCCACCTCTCAGTAGGAAGAACTGATCTCATGTGGCTCTGGGCTCCAGAGCCCGGGGTGGAATTTCCGTCCTGGTCCCCAGCTTAGAGAAGTATGTGTTTTCCACATCACCCCTACTGTTGTTTTTTCTTCCTAACTTTGGGGTAGCCAACTCGCTGCATCCATAAGTGATAGTTCTCTTTCTTGGATTCTCAGTTCCCAAGGGATTTCAGTTCTCAAGCCAGAATTTGGGAGTCGCTACTCGGTATTTGCAGAGATACCGACAGGGAAATCCACTGCTCAGAGATCACTCAATGTGTCCATTTGAAAGGGTTTGGGGTGCTCACCTACCTACGAAAAGGACATCCCCAAAACAGGGTACTGACATGGTGCTAAGAATAGTCTATGCTGTTGACTGATGTCAAAGGCAAAAGTACCCCTTCAGTGGTTAAATCTGGTGACAGGGACCTCAGCCAAGCCAATCTCTACAAATAATGGGATTGTCCACTGTTATCCTTGTGACAGGGCATCATCGGACCACCCAACACCAGCTAGAAGTATTTTTGTCCAAAGGTTGAACCTCAGTCAAGCCAAACCTCTCAAGACCTAACATCTAGAGGGAATAGAACAAGTTAAGTTGTAGTATAAGGAATCAGTTGAAAAATCTAGAATGTGTGGTAACTGACATAAATACCTCAAAAATGGCTGCCACGTGGAACATTCCTAGAAGTGGTGTTGGAGAAGCAAAACTCTGTCCCATCTGTCTTAGCATCTCTGGCAGCGCCTGATGATTCAGTCAACATAAGGCAGTGACAAGAGGCAGACAATGATGTCTACGTGTATTGGGAGCGGTGACCAGACAA